GACTCTCATTTTCTCTCTAGGGTACCGTGTGAAGTTTGTCTTTTAAGCGTAGGTATTTAAAGAAAACGATTGGGTACAGAATCTTTCTTTGCAGGTGTGCAAAGATCTGGTGAAAATAGAGGGCGGTGATTCTGGGCTGCGGTGGGGCTCCCGGGGGCCCCTGCTTCACAGCCACGCGCGGGTTCGGGCCAGCTGCCCGTCGCAGTGAGCCAGGCCGAGTGTCACAGGGCACCTGGCCTTGGTACAGAGGGGACATGCCCAGTCAGAGGGCCCACCCAGGGCCGCAGGGAGTGGGAGAGGAGCAGGTGGGTGGGAGGAGGTGGTCTGGTTCGGGAAAAGCACAGGGAACTAATGACCTTGAGCTGTGCCTTGTGCCTGGTCAGACTGGTGGGGGGGGGGGGGGGGGCCAGAGGCAGGCACTGTTTCTGTGGAGGCACAGAAAAAGGGCCTGTGGCCAGGGCGCCTGGCAGTTAGAGGCCAGAAGGGAGCCCCAAGGTGTGGGGGGCCACCAAGCGAAGCCACCAGCGGGCTGGGGCCTGGCGGAGGCTGAGGCTGCACTCAGATTGTGCTGGAGAAATCCCTTGAGGAGGGCCGGCCAGGGCGGCCTGCGGACAGGTGTCCGCCTGGGGTCCCCGTCCTTGTTCCCCATCACCTGGCCTGCATTCCCAGTCTCACTGTGGCCCGGGTACCCCAGGGGGAGCCGAGCAGTCTGGCCTGACTGAAGCCACTTACCCTCTGGGGCCCCATTTCCTCGTTTGTAACAATTGCATGGGAAGAGGCGGGGTGGCCGAGGGCTCAGTGCCGAGGACGCAGAGTGCCTGCCCTCAGTCTGCCCTGCCTTGGCCCACTTCTCACCTGTGGCTGCGGCCACACCCAGGGCCCCCCCTCCCCCTCCCTGCCCCATAGCTCGTGCAGCCCACCCGCATCATCCTCTGAGAAGCCAGGGGCCCCTGCCACTGCTGAGGCTCAGAAATCGCCTCGGAGCCCCCCCCACACCTGTGCTGCCCAGCCAGCCTGCTCCCGGTTGTGAAGGCGGGGGCGGGGGGGGGCGCCAGCTTCCTGAGACCACGAGGCGTTCCGGGCAGTGTGCTGAAGGGCAGCCTCCTCCCCCGCACTGCCTCACCCCTACCCGTGGAACTGAAGAAGCAGACATTAGTAGACGGGTGCTATTCTGCCTTCTGGCCACACTGTAAAACAAGAGAACAGGAACGACAGGGGCACTGCCTTTGAACTTGAACCCTTTGCAAACTGCCCCTGCAGCCCAGGGAGACCAGGAGGCAGCCAGCGAGAGGGAGCCCCTGGGCCCCTCCTCAGAGGGTCAGAAAAAGCCCGTTCACTCCTCACCTTATCCCGGATGCTTGGAAAAATACTGTGGTGATGTAGGTCAGTGAAGTGAGCAGCACCCACACCAGCAGGGTTTCGCCGCTCGCCGGGCCGCTCGGTCAGAGGAGAACGTAACACGCAGAGCCGGGGCCCTCGGCTTCCCCAGCCCGAGGCTTTTGTTGATGTAGCACTTAAACCCACGTTGGTGTTCCATGAAAGCCCTGAAGCTTTTTGAAGTTTCCCTGAAGTTAATAAAATTAGTCTGCCCACGCTGCCCGTCCCTGGCTTGGGAGGGGGTGGGAGATGGGTCCTCTGCTGCATCTGTGGCGTGTAGCTTTTTAAGTTAATATTCTAGAACCAAAAGAAAGGACGAGATGGGGGAGAAGGTGCAGTAAAAAGTCTTGTGAAATGCCTTGTGCTAACGGGTAACATGCCTGCCACCCCGGGGCCCTGGTCACTGTGCAGCCTGCTGTGTCCCAGCCTGAGGGGTGACCCGCACTGGGGCAGGGGGGGCGGGGGGGACCGAGGTGCAAGGCGGGGCTGTTGGCCCCTCCAATGAAACGTGCCCCCAGCCACAAGGCCGCTTGAGTGATCTACTTCTGCGCCCAAAGAGCCAAGAGTCTCCCCTCTGTCACCCATGTCTCCCCCACCCCCTGCACGTTTGCTGGGACCCCTCACGGGCCAGGGCCCCGCAAGCGTCTGGGGAGGGACGCAGGCCAGCTGCGGGTGGTGGTGGGCGGAGGCTGTCTGCAGGAAGGCTTGTCCGACCTGCGTCTGGGAGGACCGGGTGAGCCCGGGGGGGCTGGAGGGTGAAGCCGTGTTCCTTACGTTCATTAGCTTGATTGTGGGAACGTCTTCACGGGCATATACGTACATCTAAAAGCGTCAGGTTATGTACCTGAAACGTGTACGTGCTTTTACGTATCAGTTCCGCCTCGACGAAGTGTTAAAAGATGAAAGGCCGCAGGCACGACTGAGCTTTGCGGAGGCGCCACCAGCCCCGGTCAGGTACGCGCTCAGCACTGACTCAGGCACCCGGGGAGCGCAGCAGGTCGCTGCGGAGGAGACGGACGTGCCGCTTTCACAGACCCGTGTCCTGCTTGCGGGGAATAAACAACAGGCAGGGGCGTCTGGGAGGCTCAGTCAGTTGAGCGTCCAACCCTTGATCTCGGCTCAGGTCATGATCTCACAGTCGGGAGATCGAGCCCCGCGTCAGGCTCCGAGCTGAGCGCGGAGCCTGCTTGGGAGTCTCTCTCTCTCTCTTTCCCCCTCCTCGGCTTGTTCTCTCACTGTCTCTCTCTCAAAATAAATAAGCGTTAAACAAGAAACAGATAAAGCTATGGCATAGTATCAGGGAGCGATCTGTGCTCCGGAGTCAAGAGACGGAACCAGGGTTTGCAGAGGGGCCAGGGTCAGGGTGCCGGGGGGACACAGGCACAAAGAGCTTGATCGGGGCCTTGCTGGGCACCGGGGGCCTGTCCAGAGATGGGGACGGCCAGTGAGCACTCCGAAGGCAGTGGGCTGAAGACTGTGATCACCCTCCACGAAGGACACGCTTGAGCCCCTTGAGGCGGGAGCTTTGATTTGTCCTCTGCGACCCACCTGGCACATGGTAGGCTCTGAGTCAGCGTTTGTAGGAAGAGAGGAAGGACGTCGTTAGGAATCTGGTGGGGACCTTCTGCCTGTGTGGTCCCTGTGCTGCCTCCTAAGGCGGTTCTCTAGGCAGGTGTAGCCCCTCGTGCAAGGATTGTTGGCTTTGGTGCTGCTCGACCAGCCGTGGCGCCCAGGGCGGGCCCTGTGTCTCAGCCGGCCCTGTCTCACGGGTGAGCAAGGGCCAGGGACCCACCCGCCATGCCCAGGGTGCCCCCGGGCGCCCCCGTGGCACCAGACTTGCCTGCTTTCCCAGCTTGGAGGGGGTCAACGCCGTCTGGCCCTTCTTCAGCACAGGCTGTGCAAAGGCCCAGCAAACTTGGGCTTGAACTTGCACCGTGCCACCGCCTCTGGTGTCTGCAGTTCCTCCGATCTCTCTCGCCCCTGCCGACAAGGGGGCTCGAGGGCTCCGTGGGCCCCTGATGCCTCCGTTAGAGGCTGAGGTGCTCTGAGGCACTGTCTTCGTCCTAACGGCTGGTGGCCTCCGAGTAGGGCAGGCCGAGTTTGGGACGGGGGTGGCGGCACTAAGCACCCCTGGTCGTGGGGATCCTGGAATGGCCAGTCCGGAGTCAGTTCGGCTAAACATGCCGGGCACCTGCTGTGCCCGGCTAGGCTGCCCAGTGTGGCCCCTGCCAGGCTGGGAATGGGGCTCCACATGCAGGCCGCCCTGGGGTGTGGGGGCAGGGGTCCCCGGAGCCACCTCCATCCAGGGCCCCCGGCGGCCCCCGCGATCGGGGCAGGGCCCGCAGCGGGCCAGCCCACGGGAGAGCCGTGCTGGGGCTGAGCCTGAAGGACAAGGGGTTCCCGAGCAGGGGTGAGAGTTGTGAATTATAAAGGGCTGTGCGAGTGGAAATGATTATTCTTATCGTTATTTGTATCCGATTCATCCATCACCGGGGAGAGGAGGAATCCAAGTGCCTTTTATCTGGCGCTATGAATCAAATAGAAGAGGGTATGTTTTTCTAAAAGGGTTTTAGGGTAAATGGGACAGTTTCTGCCTCTCCCAGCAATCTATCTGGGGCCCTTGGCCAAGTCTTGGCATCTTGGGCAGAAGGGAGTGGTTTCTGGGGTTGGGGACAGCCTGGCCCACAGGGGTGGCCCACGAGCCTGGGCCTCAGGAGGAGAGCAGCCCCCCCCCCACCCCCCCGCCACTGGAAGGGCTTCCAGCCTCCATGCTGCTTCCCCAGGCCGGCGCCTGCTCAGACTCAGCCCTGGTCCCCAAAAGCCCCCAAGCCGGTGCACGGGGCCTGGAGAGCAGGAAGAAGCCTCCGCGTTTCCCCTGTGGCCCCCATGCGGGACCCAGGATGCAGGCCCCCCAGGGCGAGCACGGGCCCTGCTCTAAACTAGCAGCAGATCTCAAGAAGCTCTTGTGAGCCCTTTTGAGGTCATGTGGGGGAGGGTCTAGTGTTTAACACGCATGCGCGCGCGCGCACCCACCCAGCCACCCACACACACACACACACACACACACACATCCCTCTTTCTCTTTTACACAGAGGAGGGCATCACGGAGAGGAGGCCATGGGGCTGTGGCGCAGACGCGGGCCGGGCCAGCGAGGGGCTCTGGGCAGAGCGGGGAAAGCCTTGACTGAAATGCACATGCGTTTAGCAGGAGGTGGTGGCCGAGCCCGGGGTTCTCAGACACTCCTTGTGGGACGGGAAACCAGAGAGAGGGCAAGGCAGGTTCTAGAATGTGCTGATGCAGGCGCAAGTGTGGATGTCATCCTCTCAACCTGGGGGGTCTGAGCAGGCCTTCACGAGGAGAATGCTGCTAGGCCCCCGTAGACGAAGGCGGGGGGCAGACAGGGCAGGGTGGGCTCCGAGTTCAGCCTGCCCCGCTCGCTCTGGCCGCACCCTGCTGGGCCTCCAATCCACATCCGTGGAGCAGGCGGGCTCCTTCCCGTCACTGCCATGTGCCAGGCGTGAGCCACAGACGGCTCTGACCACCAGCGTCGTGGTGTGGGACGGCAGCCCAGCCTCGCCCACACGCGCTGATGCTCTCTCTGGGGCCGGGTGTGTGGGGACAGGTGATGGATGACCACAGCGTGATCGGCCGCTCCCTCTTCAAAAAGGAGACCAGCATCCAGCTCTTCGTGGGCCTCAAGGTGCACCTGTCCACCGGGGAGCTGGGCATCATCGACAGCGCCTTCGGCCAGAGTGGCAAGTTCAAGATCCGCATCCCTGGTGAGTGCGGTCCCGTGGCCTATGGTCCCGTTAGCTTGTGGCTGAGATCTGGAGCGGGGGGGGGGGGGGGGGGGGGGGGGGGGGGGGGGGGGGGGGGGGTCCTGGAGGGGCTTGGTGTGGAGTTAGCCTCCAGGCAGAGCCAGGGTCAAGGCCTGAGTCCGAGCCCCTGGGTACCACAGAGGGGGCGCCTAGGGTGTGCTACCCGGCCTGTCTGTGAAGTATGGCACCAGACCGATGTCACGGGTGCTTGGGCGGAAAAGTTGGGGGGTGAGACCGCCAGGGGCCTGGCACACCGCCCCCCGCCCCCAGCCGGTGCGGCTCCCCGAGCGTCAGCGGCCCCTCCTTTCCGGCCCAGTGGAGACCATCAAGGGCTGAGGCTCTGTGTGACCTGAGTCGGTGGCGGGGTCAAGGCTGTGCACTTGCTCTTGGGAATCGGACCCTTGGATTTCTTCCGGCCAGCCCTCCATCCCATCTCCCGAGCATGTACCCCACACCCATGATCTTCACCCGGCCGCCACAGTCGTGGGAGGGGATGGGTGGGAGTGCGTTCGGTGGCATTGACCTTGCCCCACGGAAGAGAGTCGGTGTGTGGGCCTCGGCCAGGGCAAGCGGGGAAGACCCCTCTGGGGCGGGACAGCTGAGCTGGGGCCTGACCCAAGGGAAGCAGGGAGCCCCACCGACGCCAAGGGAAGGAACATTACGTGGCAAGAGGGGGTCTGCACGGAGGCCGAGCTGCGATGCGCACTTGAGGGCGGCTTGCTTGGCACGTAGCTTACGGCCCCCGGTTGTCAGGCCTGTGGCGGGTGGAAGGCTTTTACAAAGAAGCCCTGACCCCGCAGCAGACGCCACCCTGCCTGCGTACCTGAGGGCCTGGGTCGCTCTGTGGGGGCCGGAAAGCCGTGGGGACCTTCCGCCCAGTCAGCACCGTGATGCTGGTGAACCGCGCCGTGAGTGAAATCTCCAGGTAGGGTGGTGGCCCGGCCAGGCCACGGAGCCGGAACGTGGCTCCCCAGCGGGCCACATTGGCGCCCTCTGCTCTCCTGAGCGCCTGGCCAGGGGCCCTTACCTCCCGAGTGGCTCCTCCAGCCCAGGGGTCCTGTGTGGCGCGTGCCCGCGCATGAGGAAGGGCGGCGGGCTCCAGAGGCCTGCGTCCCCAGGCCACTCGGATCTGCCACGTGACCGCACCCCGAGGTCTCCGTCAGGGCGGGGCTCAGCTCCGTCACCGGCAGAGATAGTCCCTTGGGGCGGACAAGGTGACCGCGTCCCATCCCGTCCAGTCCTCTCCGCTGCTCCTGGCTGTCACCTCACTGCAACCCGCGTCCGCAGAGCTGCTCTGGGTTCCAAGAAACACAGGGCACGAGCCGGGCGGGCCAAGGCCCAGACTCCAGCTCGCAGGGCCCTGGGCCTGCCCCTGCGGGGGCTCACTGGGAAGGAGGGGTACAGGGCACCCGGAGGGCAGGAGGGGAGCTGCCTGGAGTTGGGGGGCCGCACCCCGGAGCACTCACCCCTCCCCCGCGGCGGGGCCTGCTGGTGCAGACAAGGGAAGGCCAGCACCGTCCGTCTCCTGTTTTGGGGGTGCGTAGGCTCACGCCGACCTTCCCCTCAGCACCCCTTCCCCCAGCCCAAGGCAGACCCCGAGTCGGGGCGTCCTCAGAACGGGCCAGGGTACAAGAGGAGGCTTGTCTGGGGCCCTGGGTGCTGGGGCGGGAGCGCAGGGGGCGGCCGGGGCTGCGGCTTCAGTCAGCTCAAGGTCACATTCCTTCGTTAGATCAGTGTTGCCGTTTTAATAGGTCTGCTTCCTGTTTGTGGCTTTTAAGCTTCTTATTAAATGTAACCGGGCAGATTCCTTCATCTCCCCCGCCCCACTCCCCACCTCCCCTCCTGCCTGTCTTTCCCTGCCGATTCCTCCCGTGAAGAATTACGTTTTAGCTGTTTGAAGTGCGTGCGTCGTGAAGGCTCTTCGGTGAGCCCGGGATGCCCGGTGCCAGGCGGGGGCGGGGCGCGGCCCGCGGACGGGGCGCGTGTGGAGGCCCTGGGTTGGGGCCTTGCTGGGTCCGGCCCCCCGGAGCTGGAGCGGCTGGCGGGGGGGGGGGCGCCCCAGCCCGCAGGGTGCCCTCCCCTGCGCCCCTGCCCTCCAGCGCCTGCGCCCTCGGGTGGCAGGGCCACGTCCCGACAGAGACAAGCAGGGACCCCAGGTGGCAGGCGAGAGGGTGGTGGCGACCGAGCTGCGGGGTCTCAGCCGTCTAACCGCACCTGACGTGATGTGCGTGTGGCCCACGGACCTTGTAACTCCCGCTTGAACTTCGAGACGGACACTCAGCCTCCAGCCCACACGGCAGAGGGGAGCCCGACCCAGACGCCGCGTTGTCTGGGGCCCCGGAGGCCGGCCTCTGCGAACAGGGTCCGGAACTGGGCCCGTCGCTCCCGGGGTCGGCGGGCCAGCGAGAGTCCCATCCAGGGAGCCGTCCCGGGAAGTCTCGGGGGGCCTCGAGGTCAGAGGGCCCCACGTTTGCAGAGCTGCTCCCTTCAAGAGAGCGGCCTCCGTTTGTAAGTCGTGGGAGGCTGCGAGGCCCTGTGAGATGAGCTGGGGACCCACGGGGTCACGTTCCTGCAAAGCGAGGGGGCCGACGGCTGCGCCGGCAGAGAAGAGGGTCCCGTCCGCGGCTTGGTGTCTGCGCTTCCCACGTGCTGCTTCCGTGCCGGGCGTGTCATCGTGGAGCCGGGTCCGGTGGCCTCCGTCTCCGGGTGGGCCTCGGGAGCAGGGGGCCGAGCACCTTGCCCGTGGCCCCGGTGGGTGGCAGGAGTCTGGGCTTCGGAGAGCTGGCACCACGGGGCCACGTGTGGTTGGAGACCCTGGCGCCGGGCGGCCTGGCCCGCCCTCCACACCGGTGTCCCCGCAGCTGCTCCCACTCTGAGAGGCAGCCCGGACCCCCTCGGCCCAGCAACTCCTGTCGCGTGACTTGGGGCTCTGGCGCTCTAGAGGGGACGTTAGGGGAGAGGGCGCAGTCTGCCAGCTCTGCAGACCTGAGGGGAGGCTCAGGGCCGGGGCTGCAGGGACCACTGGACAGAGTGCTGCCCACAGGCGCGTACCTGCGGGAGAGAGGACACAGGCCAGCGGTTTGCGGTCACCGTGGTGGGGTCCCTAGGGCCATCCGAGAGGAGGAAGGGGCACATTTCCCAGAGGAGATGCTGCCCAAGCGGGGAGTGAGGGGGAAGGGGAGAAGGGCGGGGGTGGAGGGAGCCGGAATCGGATGTGTGGCCGTGGCCAGGCCCTGTGGCCAGTGGGCGGGGCCGTGGATGGCGCAGTGCCAGCCCCGGGCCCCGTTTTCTGCAGTCTCACGCTAGCTGTGTGACAAGCCGCCTCACCTCCTCCCGAGCACCTGCGTGTGCCCCGACTCCGGGGCAGCCCTGCACCTCCATTCGTCTGTCTCTCGTCGGCCGTGTCAGGCCCTGTCCGAGCCCTGGAACGTGTCAGGGGGGAGGGAGGTCCTGGACGTCGGCTGTGGGAGGAAAGTCCCGGCCCGCCTGGACCGCCTCTTCCGCACCCGGCTCTCGGTGCCCGGCTGGCCCAGGAGGGTAGGCGGGCCAGGCCGGGGCCGCGGGTGCCACAGGCCCAGGTCCTCCGAGGGGACCCCCCCGCTCGGAGCTTCGGCCCCTTGGTGCTGGGACGGAGGGAAAATCCGGGTTTCCGAGAAGGGAGTGGGGCCCCTGAGCCCTGCCCGCCGTAGCCGGCCCGTCACAGGCTCTACGAGCGGCGGCTGGGCACCTGTCCTCGCCAGGGGCCCCACGGCACAGCAGGGAGAGCTAGCATCTCCCAAGCCGAGATGGGCTCTGCTCCCACTTATTGATCCTGGAAGACACGTTGTGTGTGATTAAAAGCGAGGACGATACATCCCCTCCTGATGGAAAAAGGAGGCCCTTGGCCTGAGCAGGTGACTAGTGAACCGCCCCACGCGTGGCTTCCGAGTGCTGTCTGGGGAAACTCTTGCGCCGGCGTCCCAGGGCCGCTAGGGGCCTGCACCGTGGGGACCCCCGGCGGGGGCAGCGGCGGCCAGGAAAGCAGCAGGTGCAGGCGGACCCACGCGGGGGCAGCGGGGGCATGGACGGCAGCCACTCCGGAGCCCTCACTCTGCAGGGAGCGCCCCCGTGGACAGAGCCACTTCGGGTTTGGGCCACTCTGTCCGTGGATCCCCCCTTAGCCTCCCGTAGATTGGCTCGCACGAGCAGGTGGGGGGAGACCCTGTCCCCGTGCCCGGAGGAGGAGGGGCTCAGGACGTACACGCTGAATAAGGGCGCGGCGGCAGTCGGCCGGGACGTGTGCGTTCCTTCCGTGTCTGTGATTCAGTGTCAGAGTGAGCAGTTTTTTTATTTTTTATTTTTTTTTTTTATTTATTTCTAGGAGAGAGAGAGAGAGAGACAGCGTGAGCAGGGGAGGGTCAGAGAAAGAGGGAGTCACAGACTGAAACAGGCTCCAGGCTCCGAGCTGGCAGTCAGCACAGAGCCCGACGCAGGGCTCGAACCCACGAACCGCGAGATCATGACCTAAGCGAAAGTCGGACGCTTAACCGACTAAGCCACCCAGGCGCCCCCAGAGTGAGCAGTTTTAAACGTAGTTACTCTGGGCCGTCCAGCGTCCTATATTTTGCGTATAACAGCATCATTTACACTTTGCAAACAATCCGAGGGGAGATGCTATTATCATTACGGTTATTGAAATTCCCATTTTACCAGTGAGGAAACAAGCACAGAGAGGTACAGGGGCATTCCCAGAATCACACAGCCGTGGAGTCCCAGCAGTGGGATTCGAATGTAGGCCGTTTGGCTCCAGGGTCCTCCCTCTTCCCCCTCTGCTCCCTGCCTCTGGCAGTTCACCTTCTCGTCCACCTGCTCAGGGCCCAACGTGAATTCCAGAAGCTCCAGTTTTGGCTCAGACCCCCCTTCCCCGGGGTAAAGGAATGCCCTGGACCTCAGTTTTCCTGTATAAAAATGGGGAGCACTCC